GAAGACAAATTAATGAAACTAACTCTGGAGGAAATATAAAATTTGAATAGCACCTATTAAAGAAAGTATATTCCTAGCTTGAAAACCTACCTATATGACCACATCAGGCTCATAAACATTTTAACTGATACATTATATCAAACAATTAAAGCAGAAAAAAGAAGGAACACTTTTCCCCTCATTTTAGGAACTCAACATTGTGCTAATCCTAAAATTGAATAAAGATAATAGAAGAAAACATATTAGCTTTTTTGTCTTTTTATAATAAAGTTTTCAAATCATTTTAATACCTACCTTTTTATGGGATAAAATTAGAGCTGGTTTACTGATACACCACCAAAAATGGGAAGCACTCAGTGTAATGTGTGTCAGCAGGCAACAGTCTCGTAACTAGTTTTCCTTACTCCAGAATGTCCCCCCTGAAGGTATTCATTTTTAAAAAATAACAGCCTCACTGAGGTATAATTCCTCATACCATAAAATCCACCCCTTTTACAGTACATGATTGTCTGGTTTTTAATATATTACAGGGTTTTACAAACATCATCCTAATCAATTTCATCACCCCGAAATGAAACACCAGTCCCATTAACAGTCTCATTCCTCCCCCGACTTTTTATTCCCTGGCAAGTACTCTTCTACTTTCTTGTCTCTGTGTATTTGCCTGCTCTAGATTTTTATGTATAAAATCATGTGGTCTTTTGGTTTTAGCTTCTTTTACTTAGCAAACTGTTTACAAGATTCATCCACATGGCAGCACATTATTGGTATTTTATTTCTCTTGGAGTCAAATAATTTTTCATTGTGTACGTAAGCCACATTTGTGTCCCTCTCTCAATTGATTTGAATTATTGAATCCAATTCTAATCACAGTTCTTTGATCCAGTCTTTTCCACTTCTAGTGTTTAGTAATTCTGCTCACAGAATTGTTTTCTTAAAACTTTTCATCTTGTCACTCAAGTCCTAAAAATAAATTTTCCTATCTGCCTAGAACATACTAAAGGGACACGATTGAACTTCCATGAGAAACCCTCTGTAGTTTGACCCCAGTAGGGATGGGAATGAGAAGACCCTGCCTTCTTCTTCAGCTTGGGCCAGTTATACTCGTCTTGTTTTTATTTTTGCCAGTGCTGAGGATTGTCCTTGGGTACGCTAGGCAAGCACTATATCACTAAGCTACAGTCCTAGTCCTCAAATCTCTGCCTGACTGACCAACCATCCGGCCAACCAACCAAATCAACCAACCTACCACAAAGACCGAAGAAATAGCCAAAAGGGAAGTCCAAACTATATAAAATAGTGACATGAATATTTTTTAGCTTTATGATTACATCATCCATATTTCTTTTCATTTCTTAATTATAAAAATTACAGCCAGACCAGCCTAATTTGTCATCCTGGCCTAGTCACTTATATTGGTTTTCTTTAAATTCTCTCCTTCTGAGCTTTTAAGCAAATTATCTTTTTTTATGTGAAAGAAAAATTGGAGTAAAATTTCATACCTCAGCGTCCAGATACGGATTAAAAGATATAAGCCCTAAAGTACTGTGACCAACCCATAATAGTCACTCATTAGATAAATGAACACTATTATGGTTGAACATATGGTTAAATTTTTCAATTATTTTCAACAAAACCAATCTAAGATTAGAACTACTTTGGTGTTGTTTCATTGTTTTATAGCTTTGGTGATTTAATTTCAATATTGTCATAGTGCTTTAAAAGTAGAAACAACTTAAGCAGAAATTACATAATCAGTTAGAAGGCTTTATGTTCCATGTTTGCCATCACCCCTAGTATAATCTGAAAGAATCAGTATTTTCTTTGGGAAATGGTCATTGATAATGCCTTGTTTTATTACAATGAAGTTTCATGAAATGGCTTAAGTATAAACATCTTAAACTATACTGGGTATTGTTGAAGTAAATGTCTCATAGGAATGAGTCATAGAGCTTGGCATTCCCCATTGTTTTGGGAAGTGTGGCTTGGTACCAATTATTAAAGATGTAACCCAATATATTATTCTTTGGAATGACTCTAGCTTATATTAACAACCAAAAAAAGGATGTTGAATGGTAGTTCAGTTGTAATTGTTTTGGTCTTATTTAGATGATCATAAAATTTAAATTGCTCTTTATGCTGTGTACTTTGCGTACAGAAAACCTTTTACATGGATAGCAATTTATCTTTTTAGTTTCATAAATAAAACAGTCATGAGTTAGATTCTTCTTTCAGGGGTTGAAGTACTTATAAAGGCAGTAGCCAATTTTTCACCGAGGCATTTACTGAAAGACCAAATTAATCAATTCTTGAAAATTGCCTTTGATCATGGAAATATTATGATCAACTTTTGGACAATGTATATTTTAGTCATCAGGTATTTCTCTTTTTTCTCCCTCTAGGGTTATGCCTGTCAAGATGGTTACTCAATAGTTCACAGAAAGTGCCGTTCTCAGTTCACAGATCTAGATGGTTCCAAAAGACTTGGCATAAACACTTGGCATGATGAGAGTGGAATTTATGCTAATTCAGATGTGAAACAAAAATTCTACACATTGACTGGTGGTCCCATTGTCCCCCATTTAAAATAATATAAGAATCGGATTCTCTAATAATGCAGGAAGAGTGAATGTTAATGATTTCCTATATTAATAAAAACAATGAAAGTAGGTTCCTTTAAACTCAGAATCTTATGTTCTAGACCAGTGTTTATATTTTTATTTTCATAAACTACCCAAGTGTTTGCTAAAATTTGTTATTTAGCGGTTAAGCTTATGATTGCTTGGCATGTGGCTAATTTTTTTAAAAGTGAGGCAATTTAAATTCTATTTAAAGAAATTTTTTCCTTTTAAAAATTTTAACTGACGCATAGCAATTGTGCTTATTTGTTTTACCTTTCCATGTTTCAATACAAGTATGCAAGAAGAAGAGGAGGGAAGAAAGAGAGATAGGAGAGAAGGAAGAGGGGAGATAAAAAAGGAGGAAGAGAGGGAAAGAAGGGAGAGGAAAGAGAGAGATTTTTGGGGTATCTGTAGATTTTTAATTCTCTGTGGGCTCTTGTTGCACTGTATTTATTCAGGGTGATTTTTTTCTTATTCCAGACAAATTCTTTTGAGTATGTGGGATAGCAAGGAGGCAGACAATGAAATTTTAGTGACACTTTAGGAGTGTGATGGGAAATCCAGTCATCAGTGTTAGATTTGGAAGATATTGTAATGGCTTTTCTGACCTACCTCTCATTTTTCAGATGAGCAAACAGCAGCCCACAGAAGTTGAAGCAGGTTGTTATAGTAGTCATCTGGGGCTCCCATAGCAAATGCCATAGACTTGGTAGCTTAAAAACAGAAATGTATTTTCTCACAGTTTCAGAGGTTGAAAAATCCAAGATTAAATTTCTGGCAGGTTTAGAAGAGGTAGTTATAATTGTATTTACCCTACTGAGGTTTAGAAAGAATACTAGAACTTATTCCTCATTTCTAACTATATTTTAGTTTCTGGCAAGGGCTCTATTTCTGGTGATTGGCTGTGTCACCTTATTGTGAAAGAAGAGTAGAGTGGGAAGATCTCTTTGTCTACTTTTTTTTATAAGGCGACACTCTCAGATTAGGTCTCTACCCTCATCACCACAGTTAATCTTAATTACCTCCTAAAGACTCTGTCTCTAGGAAGTCACATTGGGGATTAACGTTCCAACATATAAATGTGGGGAAGACATAATCTTCTCCATAGCAGTTGTCCAGGATTATAGAAATAACAGATTCTGGTTGATCTTTGAGGTGTATTAGAATTTTTATTTCTATTCAGGATGAGTCTAATTATTTAATCAATCTAGGTGTCATTTGCTCTCATTGTTTTTCTTTAAAAATTAATTCATGAAATACTATTTTATGACAAATGCTAATTGAGCACTGCCTCCAATTTTTGATTGATAAGACATGGGAAAGACCGTAAGCTTTATGGGGAGAGAAATGATAATTAACTTAAAAATGTAGTATGACAGGTAAGTCTTCAACAGCAGAATTTTACTATAATTTCTTACTGCTTTAGAGAGTGTCTGGATACACATACAATATATATGTTATATATACAAAAGTATGTATATTACACCCATTAAAATATATATCTGTACAGTCTGTATAGTGTTAATTCTTTATTTGCTATTCTAGTGGATACTTAACTAGAATTACCTTTCCTTCCACACATTACAATTAAAATTTAGCTATTTGTAACACCTGTTATCACATCTAGGGTGAAGTACGCTTTGAAGTATGCAAATCTGAGTGCTAACTATCTTTTGATGATTTCTTTTCATGGGCAAAATGTTTTAAGGGCCACATCATTACCTTTGAATTATGCATGGTACCTAGAAAATAAAATTCACCTAAGTTAGCAGAAATTCTATAGGGTTTCAATGACTGACATTACACTTTGTCTAGGTGACCTAGGTCTGCTATTAAGGATCGATTTAGAAATCAGTTTCGGTTGGGGTTAGGGAAAGAATGAAATAAGGGTGATTGTATGTAAGCAAGTCAAGGAAAATGATTCATTGAAGTGAAGATTACCGGAGAGGTTTGCCCGTGCCTCCAGTTTAGTTGCTTTTAGTGGATGAATACACAAATTTTAGGACCTAATGAACTATACATTACTTTGAAACCTAGATTACTATTATTACATTTTTTTTAGTGTTAGGGATTGAATTCAGCTACATTTCACACTGGGCTATGTTCCCAGTCCTTCAAAAAAAATTTTATTTTGTGACAGGGGCTTGCTAAATTCACAGGCTGGGTTTGAACTTTCAGCCCTCCTGCCTCAGCCTCTCAGAGCACAGGTGTGCACCACCATGCTTGGCTTTATCGATATCTCTATCTTTTAGGCAAAAGAATTCTGTATTAATATGGATTTCTTTGGTTAAGTATTTTAATGGTTCATCTTACCAGTAACAAAGATCATTTCAAATAAAAACCGGAACTCAGATTTGATCATTGATGCCATGGGATATATCCAGCTGTCCCCCCAAAGCCTCATGTTTTCCTAGGTGAGGCTTTTGAGAGTGACTGGATCATGAGTGTGTGATACTGGATTAGTCCACTGATTGGTTTAGCATACTTCTGGGTGTGGATGATGGACTTACTGGAAAGGGAAGATCCACCTTACATGTGGGTGGCAACAGTCATTAGGCTTGCACCCTGAATAGAATAAAAAGGGAAAGAAGAAGGAAATTGCTCTGCTTCTTGCCTGCCATGCCATGCCATGAATTTTTCCCTTCTGGCATGCCATCCTGCCATGGAGCCAGCCAACTATGGACTGCAACTTCTCTCTATAAAACTATGAGTTAAATAAACCTTTCCTCTTTTAACTTGTGGGTGTTGGGTATTTTGTCACAGGAACCACAAAGTAACTAAGACAATTGGAGAAAGTCCCTTTTAGGGAGGGACCCCACTGCTTCCTGACTAACACCTATAGTTTACAGAATTCTACCTAAGAATTATTTTCTATGGTTTTGATTACAGATATCTTAGTGGGCATGATTTGGTGTCTTGTGGTTTTGATTTGTATTTCCATAATGACTGATGATATGGAATATTTTTCTGTGTTTATTGGCCACTTTTATATCTTTTTTACTGATGTCTTTAGTCATGTCTCTTGCCTCTATTTAATTGTGTAATCTTTTAAAATAACCTTTCATAACAATTTTCAAAAAATTGGAACACAGTATGGAAAAATGATTTTTATTTGGGCTTAAAAAGCAGTGTGGAAGGTTTCTTTTAGAATTCAATATTTGAATTTTTTTTCCTTAAATTCTTTTATTGGTACATTTTAGGTAGACAATATGACGACATTCATCATTGGGAATTTGTACCTTTACATGATGTATCTTGGTTCTTATTTTTTCCCCAATCCCCTGCCCTCCCTTCACCCTCTCCACTCTTCCCTATTTGCAAATACTTTGTTTCCAATTTTTCATTTTCTCATATTTTTCCTTTCCCTTCTTCCATTCCCCTACCCCTCCCACTTCCCCTACCCCTTTGGACCTTTTCTTCCTATTTCACATTATCAATTATTCATTTCAATCCTTATTTACACTTTCAGTTTCTCACACCAGAGAAACTATTTGGTATTATTTTTGTTTCAAAGCAACAATTGGAAACAGACTTCTGGAGGATCTCAGAGGTAAGAGCTATCATGTGGAAGTTGATGGTATGTGTGCATTTAGTCAGTAACTTTGGTGGTGATAATGATGATGCAATAAGTCAATAAAGGAATATTAAGAGCATTAATAAAATGCTGGGTAAATGCATTCTTTAGTTTTTTATCATATAGTTTTACTTTCCATTTTTTAGTGACTTCAGACTTGCTCTCCAAGAATCAAATTCATCTCATTTTTCAATATTCTTCCCACTGCTAAAGTGTCCCCATTGGACAGAAAATCTTAGCCTCTAGTGCTTATGAGTTCCTTTGATAATCTAAAGAAATCTGGACCGTTTGATCTGAAAAAAAAGTTACAAATGTTTCCTATGAGAGAATACTGGGAAGCACTCTGATATCACTATGTAATGAAAGTTTTTTTTTCCTTTTAGAAGATGAAGAAAAGAAGCTGTGAATATTTAAGAAGTTGATGTTAAGTCTGTATGTGCATTTCCAGAAGACAATATATGTTTGTTTGTTTGTTTGTTTGTTTTTTGAGACAGGGTATTCCAGACTGGTTTTGAATTTGCTATGTAGCCCAGGCTGGCCTCCAACTCACAATCCTCCTGATTCAGCTACCTGAGTTCTGAGATTATAGGCATATGCTACCATCCCTGGCCTATATTCACATATATAAAATATATAATGTACAGTGGACCTTTGACTTAAGAACTCAATCTGTTCCTGAGGGCCGATTGTAACTCAAGTTGGTTGTAAGTCAATACAGCTGAGATCTAGACATTTACCTGGGTACACACTATAGATAACATGAGATAGATGAATGTTCCATTTACCTAATTAACCAAAGTTGTTTATATGTTGGGCCAGTTGTAACTTGAGGGTCTACTGTACTTATATGTTATAATCAGAAAATAGGATTTGTAATTTTTCAGTTAGCTTTCTCTTACTACCTGGAAACATACTGATTTAGAATAACTGATTTGTTCTGTGGGTATGTTGGGTGGATTACTCTCATGGTTGGCAGTTGGCTCAAAGTCATATGTTATTCATCATGAGGTAGAGGAGGCAGGTCTTGCTGTCACAATGGTGGTGACAAGTTCCTAAGAGCAGCGGGTAGAGAGGCCTCTGTGGGTAAAAGATTTTTGAATATCTACTTATGTCACATTTACTAAAGCCTGAACAAAGCCTGGGGCCAGCCTAAGTCAATTACGGAGGGCTCTACAAAGAGAGTATATAGAAGGAGAGACAATTTACACCCATTGTTTTTCAGTCTACCAAAGTACTTTTTGCACATGCTGGATGAGAAATTGCTCTTTATATGAAAATTGTGCTTCCTTCTGTGTAATATTTTAGGGAATAGAGGTAACATCTCCATTTATCTTAAATTGGTGACATAATCTGGAACATCAGGACCATTGATCTTGCTCCAGTCATTAATGGTGCACGTGGAGCTCAGTTTTGGGTTGAGGCAGAACTTTTAGGGTCCAGTTCAAAGACAAAGTAAATCCTTTCACTCAGGGCTCCTGGACAGCTGGAGAAGGTAAAGAGTTCCTCCTTAGGCAGAAAGTGGGAAATACTGTGCAGTGGTGTCTAAAGGAAAAGGGGAGATTCCCCATATGCCTGTTGACTTATCTCTGTTTCTTATGTCTTTAAAATTCTATCTCATTGTAATGGAGTTATCAAAGCAGATCCTCAAAATCATTCAGTTTGGAAGTTGGGGAAGGCAGCAGTTACCTCCTTGAGGAGGCAGACTTGAATTTCATAGGGAAGGTCAGTGGCCAGAGTGCCGAATTTTTTTTTCCATTAAGTTTATTGGTACATTTTAGGTATGAAATACAGTTACATTCATCATTGGG